CAGAAAAAATTTAAATAATTATGAATATAAAATACATATATATATATATATATATATAATGAAGAAGAACTAAACAAAACTTAATTGTACAAAAGCAGGCATTGAAAGATACACGGGCAATGTTGCAATCCAAATATAAAAAGCAAAGTGAAAGCAAGGCGCAGACATGAATAGGGCCGCATAATTCATTTAAATTTTTTGCCTAGTCCTCATTGGAAACAACTTAAAACTTGAAAGCTAAAACTCCCTGCTTTATAAGCGCAAAAGGAGAAAGAAGAAAGGAGAGGCTCAGGCAATAATGGCGTCCTTTCCCTCAACTTTTTTCTCTTTTTTTTATGTTTTAAACCCTCGATTCTAGAGCTCCCTTATCAATCGTGCATCCATCCATTGCCTGTCGCCGTGGGACAACTACTCTCTCTCTCTCTCTCTCTCTCTCTCTCCCTACATCCATACCTAATGTGAAAGTTGCATTTTTCCAAGCCTACTCAGCCACGCGAGAACGACATCAAAGAAGAGACAAAACACAGCCATAAAATACAAGCTCGGCCTTCATTATTTCTTAAACTATAATAATTGTTTTTCTTTGAAAACGAGCCACATACAAGATATAATAAAGTGGCTTAAAAATGCCGCAGTTGAAACTTGAATTGAATCACTAGGCAAAGCATTTCAAAACATGATCTGAACTGAAACTTCAACGTTCATAATTAATCTGGTCATGTTCAAGAACTAATTACTCCTCAAATTAAGTCACATTAAGAATGTGGTTGAAAAAAATTAATGCACCCAAAACTCATTTTACGTACTACCAAGCTTAGCATTGACGTATATACGATATTAAAGGCGGCGATGTGGCATTTGATCATATGGACCATAATTATTTACTTTATTTATTGTTACCTGAGCTCTGAATGGACAAAGCCGGAGACACCACAGTGTTTGACGGCGTCAGAGGCGGTGGAGGCGGCGAAGCCACCACACCCTTCGCATTCGGATTCGGACTGTGATTATTGAGATTCTGATTTCCATCTGAGCCGTCAATCGCTAGGGTTTGAGCCTTTGCGCTCTCCTCCGCCAACGCATCGCAGAAAGCCCTATGCGTTATAAAGCTATCCCTCCTTCAAAACCCAAACAAAACGACAACATCTTAATAATCGGCGGTTACCGAGAAAATAATACTAGAAAAAAGAGGAAATTTTTTTCGTTTAGTTTATCGGGAACCAAACACACACCTAGAGAATAAAGTTCCGCAATCGCATCTGTACTCTCGGGTACCACAGGTCTTCATGTGCGCCTTCCAATCGGACTGTACGGCGTATTTCTTGGAGCACCGCTCGCACTTCCACTTCTTCTCGCCGTGCTTTCTACAGAAGTGCTTTTTTATTCCCGTCAAATCGCCGAGGGCTCGGGTCGGGTTGTGGTGCACGCAGGAGGTCTCAGGGCACACATAGACCCGCTTCCGGACTTCTTTGGTTGTTCTTTGCCTCAGCTTCCACGGCAAGTTGTGGCCTCGCCGATGGAGCTGCAAGTTCTGATCACGCTGGAACCCTTTGTTGCAGATCTCGCACACGAAACGGTTCGTCGCGAGAAGCGTTGTCGGCGACAGAGCGATCACCTCCGCTTCGGGATCTGAAAATTTTGAAATTAACAAAATATTAGATGTTATTTTAGCGTCAATTAGCAAAAATTAAAGGCTCATCGAATTCCGATCTTGTATACCTGGCATTCCGGGAAGGTTTCGCTTTTTCTTCAGAGGTGGCTCTGGAAGAGTCATGGTTTCGTGAGCAGAGGAAGATAAACTAGCTTCCCCTGAAGCTGTTGAAACTGTCAGTAACGGGGATGAGGAATTGTCCAGGTCCCCCATTTTTGTTCCCTTCACTTCAATCTCTGAGCTCAAAGCCTCGAGAACAAGCTAACTACTTAGGGTTTTAGTTCTGATTGTTTAAAGTAAGCAAACACTTAAAACTTTCTGATTGTTTCCCGGGAAAAGATAAATTTATTCCCGAGAAAAACCGACCAAATTGCTCGAGCTGAATTACTGGACTCTTTGCTCGTTCAACGAAAACCAACGGAAACACCGATTCAACTCAGTCATCGAGGTCATGGACGGAGAACCAAAGTCCCATTAGGCGGCGGCTCCATAGCTGGAATTTAAATGAAGGAAGCTGACAGAGAGAGAGAGAGAGAGAGAGAGAGATTTGAACGGAGTGGAAAAAAATTAAATATATTGAAAAATGGGTTGAAGCGGCGGCAGTTAACCATGGTTAAGGTTTGAAGCAGTGCATTTTTAACCGTGGTTAGAGAATATACCTGAGCCCAATGAACCAAGTCTGATCCCGTCGCTGATAGTTTCGATCTGGCCGTCCACGTGTCACAATAAGCTGGCAGATGTCATTTGTCGGAGGAAGTCGGACTAGGCGGTGCTTGTCTTTTAGCACAAAAGGCTAAACCCAACTATTTTTCTATCCTATTACTAAACCTTTTTTATATAAAGACATAAACTTGGCCTAATTCTCATTGCCTTAAAAAGACATTTACAACCCTACTGAACCGACCGTCTTGCTTCTGCAACACAGGATGTTTCGGTCTTTCCAGTGAGTTGCGTTATGCTTGAATTACCAGTAATGCCACTCAGCAGATAAGGACGAGCAAGTGAAATGTGGACAAGACAATTTAAACGTTTTGCCCACACTCCGAACCTCAGTGGCTTTCTTGTGATTCTCTTGAAAACCTTGTCTGAATTCTTGTTGCTTTTTTTTTATTTTTTATAGGGCATATTCCTCATCAAAATTACTGCCTTTGGGGGTTTGGGCTTACCTGTGCTTCAGAGTCAAACAGTACGCTACAGTACCAAATGGAGGTCAAATGTCACTGAAGCCCTCGTGAGTCATTAGCACGTGCTTGAGTCTGCCACTAAAGAGGTTTAATCCCCTGCTTCAAAGCCCATTGTAATAAAATGGACTTGCTGGTGTTGTGGACGTTTGATGGGGCAGATGCAAAGCGAAGATGGTAATGCGATGCATGGAAAAATATACTGTTTCCTAAAAAGGCAAATACCCTTTTGTCTTTCCGAGTAGATCCTAAATCCCGAAATGGACAGCTACGCAAAGGCCACCATCTTTTTCAAAAGTCTGATCATGAGACCAAGCCCCAGTGGCAATTTGGACTTTTTGCTGCACAGTATATACTAATCAGAAATAGACACAGTGGACTGGTTGCAGGCCGTCGACGGTCGGTCGAACTTGGGGCCCACAAACGCTGAGATGGACGGCCCAGATGCATTCAGCGAACACAGCCCTAGTATTTGTTTAAAATCGTTGACAGGTACTTTATGCTATTGTTTTATCTCCTGATGGTCATTATACTCAAATAATTAGAACCATGGACATTATTTTTATGAATAAAAGCAAGTAAAGCAAAGAAAAGCAAGTGAAGAAAGTTGCATCTGATCTGCTATTTGTTTGTACTTAGTATGAACACACTACACAGATTTCCATCTAATCTAACATAATCTAAAGCAAGTTAGCCCCAAATAATTATTTAATTAAAATTATGAACCTCTGTTTTTTATATTTTATATTTTATATCCCACCTAACATTAAAGCTCATCATTTATGCTCTGCCAATTTAGGAAGAAAACAGTGCAGCCACAACCAGGGTAGTGCAAAAGCAAACTTGTTCCCAAACTGAATGAGTCAAAACAAAGTTGGTTTGCTTGCTTTGTTTTGTTTTGGGGGCTTTTGGCTCACAGCCGAAACATTGATGTTTATATTTTATTTTTGTTTCGTTTTGTTCTTTCTTTTTGTTTCATAGTGTTGGGAGACTTCTGACCTCAAAAACGAGCAGAGCTTTCCGCTGTTTTTATAATGAATTAATTATAAAAACATATATATAATCCATGGAGAAAAAGACAAGTGGGATTGATGAAAGCTTACCGAATAAAGAAAAATGTTAATCAATGTCATGATTTTAAACGAATTAATTTCTGCTCAGATCATAATTCAATACCCAATGGGATCAAAATTGGAATGATTATGTTCAAAGAAAACTTACTACTTATCCTTGTAAATTTGACTTGGAAAGAGAAACATTTCCTATAAAAAGGCCACTGCGGCTACGCATCTGTTTTAATTATGTCCTATCCTATTACGCATATTCAGATAAGTACATTTCTTAAGGTTCAGCCAATCCAAGACCGGGGACGTGGAACTTTCACTTTGGGAAGGG